CTTCGTTCCAGGATTTTTCATGGTTCTCAAATCATCGAGAGCTCTCTATACGAAAGTGATGAGGGTCAAAACAGCTGGGTGAGTAAAGCTGCTAGTAAGTGCAGCACTGCATGCTTCTGAAGATCCTTTTTTCAGAAAGTATGCCGCCGACTAAATTGCTTTGCGCTCTGCTTAGTAATCGAAATCATGCTCAAGTGGATATTTCCGCAAAATCACCTACACAACCTTCGCTTACTTCCTGTCAAGATGCTTACACTGCTCATCCTTTCGATGGTGGCCAGCGCCGACGTGATCTGTCCGCATCACAAGTGCGTTCAATTAAAATAAAAAACTTACATAAAATAGTCAAGTCTCTCGTGAGATGACGCCTCATCGCACCGTTATAAAAACATTTTATGGAACGAACTACTTAACAGGTTTTTCTTACATTCTTGCACCTCCTTTCGCTGTTCGCTAAGGTACTACTAGGTCTTTAAAGCCTGAAAAGATCATTACATTACATCGTGTAGCTCCCATGAGCAGGAAGACTCACAAAAATAGATTTAGCAAATAGAAAAAAAGCCCATGGCTACTTCAGAATTATTATGAAATATCAGAACAACGCATTGTGCTTCTTTGAACATTCGTTTTTGATACCGATCCACTTCGTATTGTTCAACTTCACGGTTTTTTGGTATTAAACATGCCTAACACAACTGGAAGAATTAACTTCCAAGTACGGCTTTCTATGAACCTCGGCATAATTGTATTACTGTGTTTATTGTTTTCTTCAATTCTTCACGAGGTTTGTAAATGAGCTTTATTAGGCTGACGTCTCGGCGGAGTCGCCTTGTTTAGAGCCTGAAAGGTTCATTACAAGTTGTGACTATCCTATAATTTCACTGAAGACCTACCCCAGCTGACACTAGTCGATTGGTATTATTGGTTACTGGGTGGTTTCGAGGATTCCGAAAGATACGGGAGTGGTTTTCCTTGAATCAACTGCGTGCTCTGGGGGTCTCGAACATCAGGCACTGGACACGTTCGGTCGGATAGTCACAACTTGTAATGATCCTTTCAGGCTCTGAAGAAGGCGTCCCCGTCAAAACGTCAGCCTAATAAAGCTCATTTACAAACCTTGTGAAGAGTTGAAGAAAACAATAAACACAGTAATACAGTTGCATGACTTGATGACTGCTATTATTTCGCCGCAGTACGCGTTCTGAAAGTCTCACAAGGGTGACGATGCATGGACAAAACTTCAGTCTCGGACGAGACTCGAACCCGTACTTGTGCTTCATCTCATCTTGGAAAGTTGGATGAGACATGGTAGTTGCTGAAAACGGTAGAAGTTTCACCATAGGCCTGACGACAATTCCTTCACCCTTTAATCCGTAGTATTATAGAAACCAAACCAGCACTGAGAAGATTTTTATTGGAATGAAGCGACGAAAACTCGAAAAGTGACACCAGGAGTGTCTCTAAGAAAGTGTTCCCGTTATATTTGTAAAAAAAAAATCATGGAATAAGAAAGTGAGTAGGCTATTCCTGATGGAATGGGATTTTCCTCTTTGCTGGAAAGTTTCGGGTCAAAAATTCTGAAGACAATCAGTGCTTCATTTTTACTCATTTTTTATATAGCCTAAGGCTCATGCCTAGAAGTCATATTCGGTTGCCATTAAGCGTGAGTTTTTCTATTTCAGGGCTTGAGACAGTTCCCATAAACTTTAATCCCTAGAGAAACTGTTGTGAATTACTAGATGTTATAGAATTTCTCAGATTTCTTATGGTTACAGCTGCGATTACCTAGGAACGGAGGCAATCGCCGTGGTCACATGCTTCAACTTGTGCATGCTAATACATTACTAAATTCCAACTTTGCGCTCAGATGAACCACTGAGCAACTATAGTTGTAGCTGAGATTAAAAGGTAATACCTCGACCCAAGCGCATTGTTGATGAACACCAAATGAAGTTCCAGAGAGATGTTATTGTTCTAATAGACTTGAATTCAAAAATTCAAACAAATGTTCCTGGCCAGCAATTTCACCAGGAATATTTTGAATTTTCAAAAGTAGTATCAAAAATAAAATATTCCGTTTCAGTTTTCCAGCCAGCAGATTTTTTGTTTAAACTTCACTATATTAGGAATGGCATGAACTACAGGATTTATTCCTTACTTCTTTCCTAACTTTGTTGTTTACATCCCATGCTATTATTTCTATTGAAAATTCTTTTTTTTTTTTGCTCTTTACTATTTTGCGTCATTTGAATTTTACTTTTATTAGCTAACTTCTGTTTTGTCTCACGTACACGCACATATTTCTTAGTTTGAGATTTTCCAAAAAGCAATTTAACAAATCAGAGTCGCACTGTAAAATGTCGGCTACTCGAAGAAATACGCTCTGTCTACAAACGAGAAATCCTGCTTCCCAGGCTGAGTGGAGCAGCTTCTAAAAAGGCTTTTATACTCTTTGAGGGCATAGCCGCCGTACAAAACCGCTGTCGAACATTGGTCGGAAACAGACTCCTGCTACATAAGAATCAAGGGTGTAAGGAAGAGAGTGTAAAAATGCAATGCCAAGCTTGAGAGAAGCCGAGCCGACGCATCTGGTTGAGTAATACGCAACCATCCACATCCTTAACCCGTTACCGTCGCTCTTCCGTTTCTTGCCTTGAAAATGAATATTATGTTGCTTCTAGATGTATGGAGCGATGTTCTGCTCTGACTGCTCTGCTTTATCGAAAACACATGCCTTGTTTATGTTTACATCATACACCGTGACTCGTTGGCAGTATTAACAGAACACGTGACTTATGACCATCCTCTGTGGCTTATCGTTGGGAATCGGTAATCCAACTTAATGTGTTGATTGAAAACACCGTTTATTAGGCGATTTATTTGTTTATAAGCCTATAAACCACTCTGACGTACTGCATTTACCGTGTAACTCGTGGCTAAGACCGGCTAATTATACAACAAGCTGCTTGAATTAATCCCATAAATTCAAAATATTGCTGTTCTACGTAGTAAGGTGAAAAAGCGTGCTAGTGAGGAACTTGGAATCTACAGGGAAGAAAACATACAAAAAATTGTTCGAATCATACTGAAGTATGAGGACATACCGTGTGACCAACCGGGCTTTTTTGATAAACGACTTAATCTTAACTGAACTTGAACTTAGTTCACTATCAGTTATACCTCATGACTAAATACCAGGCTATGACGACCACATGATATTGGCAGCTCGTCCACCCACGGGCATCGCCCGTCCCTGGAACAATACGAAAATGGAATGATAGAAATCTCGTGGTTCCATTAAGCCCCATCAACAGCACATCTCTGCAGTTCCATCTGGTTTTGGATCCTTTTTCGATGCATTTCAAACACTCTCAATTAAACGAATCATGTTTTAGAGTAATGCAATGCGGTGAATTTTATAATGAAATTCCATGGTTCTATTATTATTCAATATTATTCTCTTGATGTTGAAAAAAGCAAGGTCTTTGTAGCTAGACTAGCCGTCCGCTTTACTAGGATAAAAGATGCTCTAAGTTAATACTACACATTTCATCACAAACCCAGCCATTACGGCTCGTTTTTCAGGACTCTCATGGTGGAAACTTCACTTGTCCTACACTCTGATGTGTACAGAGGGCTACCGCTGTCATCTGTGCCTTGCTCATTCTCTGTTGAGAGCGTATCAGGATCGGATCTGCTGGGTAAGTAAGTTTATAAGGTGCACTCAAGCTGTTTTTTGGTTGCCTATATTCGCTTGTCTGGAAAAGAGACCGTCTCTGTTATGATAGATTATAATGGTCGGATTATCCATCGGTACTCAGTCAGTATAATACGTCGCTTTGAAGAGAATAGCTCATCATCGTTGTATCTGTACATCTCTGAGCGGATTAATCAAACTTTCAGAGCTACTCTCGATTTTGTTCTGTGAGCATCAGAAGCTTAGTGACTAGGTCTACGACTAGCTCTTTATTCACTTTTTTATTATCACTGCTAGGGCAGAAGGCATGAAGCTCAAGAATTCGAATCCCAGCTCGATCTAAGCCTAGGCAGACCGAGCTTTTCATCCTTCCAGGGTCGTTTGATTGGCACCAGGCTCGTCTGGGGAGACGAAAGCACTGGTTTATAAATCGGATGGCCACCGCAAGTTAAAGGCCGCCAACGCATTTCAATAGCCACTACGGTTCTGAATGGAAGTCGAATGCGGCCACAGACGGGATTGACCCAACGCCCAAACTCTTTATCCTTTACCATTGAGTTTCACAGCCGCTCAAATGAGGTCAAAGACCCAGACTCCCCTGCTTCGTAGGACATTGTATTACGACGGTTTCAGTGAAGATTATTCCCGTTCCAAGGTGCACCCATTGGACTTCCATACAAAGAATGAACGATTGTAAGAGTTGTGACCTATACAAAGAAGTGCGGGAAGCCAGACGATACATACAACAGTGTTGTCATCCTCGCAGACGAGTCTGGTACTAGTCAACTGGGAAAACCTAGCGAACTATTGGCCTAGTATCGATCCAGGATTCGATTTCCAGGTCATGCGTGTGATAGCGCCACATTTGACACTGCACCAAATATCGTAAGTAAGTAGAAACTAATCAATTCCCGAGAAATGCCGTGTATCGAAGTAAGCCCGGAAATTTTCGCAGACCACTGACGGTAGCGCGGGATCATTCAGTGTGCCCATCGTCACCTTTTCAAACTAAAACGGACCATACGTAGGAGATCTAGTGAAGGGAAGTCGACAAGCTTCAGTCAAAGAACGTCAAACCTTCTCCATAACTTCCATTGGCTTTTTTCATTGAGGTGCAACTACAGTGTGTGTCAGTGATGTCCACAGCGAACACTGTGGGATTGCATTGAGTTTCCCAATCTGCGCATGAATATGAACCTATGAAAATCCGAAGTTCGCTGAGCCAACATTAGCATTATTTGCATACTACATTATAAATGCATGAGTCATCTCATGTAATAAATAATAATAATAACTGAATTCCCTGGTCACCGCTTCTGAATTCCATCTTTTTTTCCACACCGTCGTTAGCCGGTACTGACCATGGCGGACTTGAGTAGCTTCCTAAGCTCCCGAATCAAAGTTTTATTTCAGTATTAGTGACCACGTCGTCTGCGTTTTCACTTCGCCAGCCTATGAACTCTATGAACCTCATCATTCGAGACGATCATCACCATCTTATCGTCGACAGTAGACCAAAGGTGGTTATTAGCTACGTCATCGTCATCATATAGTTACATTTAATTGACTTATTTCAGATTTATCGTCTTTTTTCGAGTCCAATTTTCGTCGAAATCCCGACAAATTTAAGTTTTCGAGCCATAATTGTCGTATCGGTCGTCATCAACTGCAGCGATAGCCACTCCTTCCGATGCTCTGGAGGCTGTGATTTCCCGGATTCTCAAAGTTAGTCAAACATCACTTCTACAAACCGATACTGCTGTCGCAAAGTGCAGTGGGGTGATCACATATTGTCACTATCTAGAATGAACATCGCCCCAGCGTACTGAAATGAGGACGTTAGGAGGGAGCCGTACGAGCTAGGGGATTACGGTAGCATCAGAGAATGAGGTTGAATGTAGAATAGAACGGGTTAGGTGAACAAATCATGTCTTGATATACCATTGGGGGAAATCTACAGAATTAAATAAAGGGCAATTTTCTCAATGTTAAGTCAATAAGAACAAAGAATAACGGTAGACGTTTCAAGGTGTTCTTAGGGAGAAAGAACGCCACGGAAACCGCCGAAAACATTAATGTTTCTGATCGGTAGTGGCGCTATCGGCAGTGATATCTTCCAAGCTCTCAAGCGCTAAAAACGGCCACCTTTTTTCAGCTTTGAAGCGATAGCTTAAGGTATAAATTATTTAAATATTATGGCACGTTTCCGACATCCTCTTCAACAAAAACATGGTTGACACCGAATAACTTTTTATGCACATCAGTATGCTTGACAGTTGAAAGTGTAACTGAGACATCCGGCAACGAGTCTGAGGCATGGAAAAGCCGAATCTTCGAGTCTTCATGGTAGCATACACATGTCCTATCACATGCGATTAACTCCTATCATTTTCGTGCTCACCTATGTAAACATCAGCGAAAAGTCAGAAGAGAATGTTGCAGAGTGCAGTTAGGCCTGGGTAAAGCAAAGTATTGGCAAATAAAATGCCAATGCTCCTCCTGATTCCATCCCTTATTCAGCTCTGATGTAACCTAGCACACGATATACCTACGTGAGCCTTTTGAAGGACTAAACTGGTCTGCTCAGTTCGAAGGATATTCAGAGAGTTTGTTCACCATAGCTTCAAATCGAAGTCTCAACAACTATCAGAAAGTGGTTCAGCTACTTTATTTCGACCGCCTTCATCACATGCGTCAAAATGACTGTCAAATAAGCGAACCTCTGAAAAGAAGGGGAACCGATTTCTTCATTGGAGGCCATTTTTTAGCTGCTATCTAATCTCGCAGTAAAAAAGAAAAGCGGTTTTGCAATGCTCAGGATGGGGGAAGCTGATTATTCTGCTACCCTGTGACTGATGACGTACGAATGTGGGAGCGCCTGAGTCATGAAAAACTAGTTGGTTAAGCGCATTTATTGCGAACTCACTCCGTCCCAACGCTGGGATCGAGCGCCTTCTCAAGAACAGGAAAACATGAACACACCAGCATGACCACATTGGACCTTTTTCTGAATAAGATTCCTCAGTCAGTTTCAGCTTTGCAAATGACGTCAGATCATTTACTCTTTCTCACAGTGAAATCATCTAAGATACTTGTTATGCTGAAAACTTCGGTAGTGCCTCGTAAAGTAACCGCCAACCCGAGCCGATTTATGTAGTTGACCACGTCATTTATCTCCTGTAAGGAAGGCGATTAAATATGCAGGACGATACTATTTTTACCATAGCATGATGTCAAGGAATCCGAATGATCACGTTCCTTTGAGTGCAAATGGCTAGCCGGCAACGACAGACATAAGTGTTTCAGCAACAAATCCTCTCAAATACGTGAGAAACGGAATCCCATGGATCAAAATCAACTTATCTCATACGTGCACCACTAAGTAAGGAATAATTTCCTGCTTTCCTTGACTGCTGCAAGGCTTGGAACGACTTAAATATATGCTGACGATGAAAATCGGCTTTACAGACTGTCATAAAGGATAGAGAAGATAAGGTCTTGTGGTGTTGATCAGTACCGTTTGGGAATGTGCCTCCGCATTCGAACTTCATGCAAAATCGTAGTGGCCCTCTAAATGTGCCTGTGACAGGGAAAATTCAATGCCAATACCAGGAACTATTACAATAAGAAGGGGTTTTCATAGAATTAAGGGAGTGGCAAATGCCAAAGCTGTAGGATGGAGACATTGAAAAGGGGNAACACTTGGCACTACAGCACCTCGCATAGATTTGCACAATGTGTCGAGCATTGCCGTATAGAAAAGCCGGGCTCTTCCCGTTTATTGCTCCTCGACAGAAAAGTGTGAGCTACCAGCGTATTTTGACCCGTTTCATTTGAAAAAGGTTGAAGATTCTTCGAGGTAGAGGACTCGTCAGGTTTCCTGATATGCAGTGGATCAGAGCTGTTGCACACCACCATATTGTCTCCATGGTCTTCTTCAGATGCTTTCTCGATATTAAGAAATTCGAGCGCTGTATCCCAGTCAATCGAGCAGGGGCTTCCCTGTTGTTGAAAAAAATCTATTTCTCAACGCACGTTACAATTACCCGTATTATCTGCAGTCGCGTTTATGAACCCGGTCAGTAATCGCCTTGGTCCAGACGTCATCAAATAATCGCTTGACGTTTCCGGACCACGCAGTCCGTTTATGAAGGGCACTGCCCACTAGACGAGTGGCAAAGGGTTTGCAGAGCTACGAGCTCCTTCCTAAACGGACTGCGCGGATGAAGTTTAGGGGCAACAGCCCTTGCTTACGCACGTGACAATCATTACCATCGAGAAATGGATAGTTGTTGTTGTGTAAGATAAGTGTTCAGAAGATATCCGAGTTTCCCTCACTCCTTATTATTCCCGAGTAAAGTCGAAGTGGTCAATGCCTGGTTCTTGAGCAACTTATTGATTTTGTTCTTATTATCTTCAGTTGTTCGCAGCTAGTTAACTTTGATGAATTCCTCCAGCAGGTGGTCGACAACTTCACAAAGCGGCTCCGACCTGCTTCAGACCTGCTTCATCGTCGAAGCTCATGTCGGGCAAACGAAATTTGTGAAACCAACGTAGCACCACGGATTTGGTAGTTCTCGCTCCAAGCAACTTTAATAGAAGCCAAGCTGTCTTCGCACGGACCTGACTAGCTTGAACTCGCAGAAAAATCTAGTCTTTGTGCTGACAAAATAGCCTCGCTGAAAGTCCTTCAGATCTGCAGCGAGGATGACTTTGTATTTAGCTTTGTTTGGAACCAATAATTACATCGGATCGAACGCTGTGCCCCGGCAGTATGTTTCTCAAGGGCTGAAACTCTTCGTACTTCAGTTTATGACGGACTCTCTTATATATTTAGCGTGCCTTGCATTAGGGACTTGACCTCTAAGTATTGGCTATTGCGCCCAAGTAAGCACATAAAAGCATTGTTTAAAATTTTGGCTCAATCTTGCCACTGAGAAATAGCTTTCATCAAAGAAGGCATCGCAGTACTCGTGGGCAGAATCTTTCCCCCAGAAACCCAAAAAGAGAGATGTAGGGATGGTTAATGTGAATGAACGCGACAATCATCGGTGCCCTATCCTTCGAACCACATTGCTCCTTGAACAAAGGAAATCGTAAGAAATTGCATTCATAATTCTCTGAAAAGGATCCACATTTTGGAAGGAGTGAGGGAAATGAAAACTTTTAGATTGCTCGTCTGTATGTGTGCCAAGTTCTCTTCGTTGCGATTCCATCGACAACTGCCTTATCGACGAAATAGCCTGCGGAAATGAAACGGAAAAAGTACGGTTGTTTCTGTATTTTCGAGCTTTTACTTTATGCTTATATTGCAGTTAACGCAATTGAACAGTTCATTCCGTTACCACACAATTCTGAGGTCGAGCCAACTCATGCTAGTGGGCTTTTTCGTTCTTAACGGTGCATTTATTGGTAGGTCTTGATGATTGCTTTATATACCTGTAATAATAGTAATTGTGACCCACACGTTGTCTATGAGGGAGAAACCAACTCTCCAAGAATACCGAGCTTGACCTGCTTCTTGCGTTGGAGCACTCGACGACGGTGGGTCAGCTTTGACACTAGAAGGAAGAGAGCCCGACGTTAGTCGTCAACTCTTGACACTATAATGACCTAGGAAAAGCTGGGTAACCCAGCTCCCAAAAAATGATTGAAATACGAAAAACAAAGAAATTTGAACGGCGTCAAACAGGAAGTGAACAGTCTTCGGTTCCCACTCGCGTTTACGAAGATTTCCACCCTTCTTATAGAAACTAGGTCGTTGTAGTTGAACGAAACTCGATATCGTTAGAATAGCCACAATTCGCAATTGTCTTGCTGTCACGCCGTTTGCTGTATACTTCTTCCACCAAGTTCCACACGGGGACCACGTATCGTCGTCTGAGGCGACGATCACCTCACCATAACTAACTCGTCGTCTCACCGTCTGGGACGACTAACTCTAGCTTAACTCACGCCCCTAAAAGGTGCGGGGTCAAGCGGGCCCGAGATAAGTGGGTCCTCACTCCTACCTAAAGCAACAGCAAAGGCAGCACGTGGGTTGTATCGTTTAGATAAACACTTATTACTAACACTTTCCTTCTGTGGATTTTATAGCGGAAACGACCGCGCTTATTATTACAGTTGCTGTATATTTACTCCGCAATTACCGGAGTTATTATTATAAAACCACTGAACCGCCCACACACCACGCGTCAGAACTTTTTAATATGCCTCAAATTTGAGTAATTAAACCTGTCAATATAATTCACGTCAACTATACCAAAACTACAGCACGCTGTAATAGTGCCAAAAAACATGTCTTCAGGAGAACTAATGTGTGATGATACGGTTAAGGAAAAGAGGAAGAATAATGACGGATTACTAAGGTCAAGAATGCAGATATAACAAAGGCATATAAGATTATACCGAAATAATGAGGTTGAGTAGGTTCGTTACACAATATCATTACAAAAGAAACCAGTGTTTGAAAAGTAATGAAATCGGGGTGGATGCGTCGACGTTTCTGATAGGATTAAAAATCCGTTTTGCGAGAACCCAATTGCGAAATACTCTACAGAGCCACTATTTTCGCTGGCCTCTAAATCCCAATGTCCGCACGCAGAACCATCATCGGAATAGCGAGTATTCGCGATACTTCTGACCTTTTCAACAACATAGCAACCAAAGTTAATTAGTTATTTAGTGAGAGTTCTATCGGCGATTCGCCTCTCCTAAAACTTCTGAAATGGTAGAAGGAGGAGGGCTCTTTTCTGTAATTCTGGTTAAATAAGTCAGAAGTCAAATTCGTCTTGTTGGGCGGCTTCTACATATCTCTCAAGAAACGCTTCATTTCCTGTACTCGTGGACTTAGAAGCAGTGAAACGAAATACGATAAAAATTCCAGCCATTTTCAGTATTCTTCCTGTTACTGTCCATATGCTCTGTAAGCGGATGTTTCTCGCGGAAACTTTTTCGGAAGAAAACCAGAGCCTCTAGGATGACATTTGTCAAATACCTCAGGTTAGCTTCTCATTCAACGTGTACTCCCCTCTTTCAGCACTGAACGATTTTTTCATTTTTGCCATTCTTACACAAAATCTTATAGTCTCTACACTCTCACAGTGCTACATCAAGTAGCAACGTCAAGTTTTTAAGGGAGGCAAGTGCCCCTGCAGCTTTGTCAAGGAAAAAGTGTTCGCCGTCTTCGGTTGACAGGCATTCCAATGGTCTTTCTTTCGTCACTTTCACTACATCACCAGCACTTCGAGAAGTCGAACCTGGTAAGTTTTCTCCACAGTTTCGGTGCCAGTCGAAATTGTGACAGCAGCTCTTGAAGTGCAGGGGCGATCTCAAGGGCATCTATGGTTCAAAACTGTCGTAGAATCTTGGTTCCTATGTGCATTCTCAGAGGAAATCTCTCAACTGAGAGCATATTAGAAGTCTCACCGAGGACGCCGTGTTTTTTACAGCGCTATACCGATATTATAACAAAGCCATTTCACACAGCTTTTTTCATAGAAGGTCGAAGCAGAATGACAATAATTTTGTTAATGATCAACCAAGCGACAGTTTCTACGTGCTACTTTCTTCTTTTGAAGAACTTCACTCTACCGAGTTGAAGGGTGAAATACAGGAATGTTTTCAGAGGTGGAAGATCGCAGTTTGATGGCTCCAAAAGAGGAAATCTGCAGTCTGCCTTCTTATCAGCCGGAGGTGAGCATATCGGTAGTGGCTCCACGCTTATGCAGTGTGCTGCCTATATGTATATGAACAAGCTAAGTGAGCCATGCAATCTTGACCTAATCAGGGCTCCCTTTCTTTTGAAAGCAAGGTAATCCCAATCAACGCTGGAGCTCAGACTTCGTTATGGTCTCTACTCAGATGTAATCATAGAGTGAGAATACAGTGAACTAAATAAATCACATGAGCAGAAAACGGTGTTCCAAACCGTTACTTGGATTGCCGCGCGGGGCTGTAATCTCTTTTACAAAAAACTTGAATTGTCACTGAGACTTGTCTACTTCACTGTGTTCACCGAATTTCTGAATGGAGATCCTTGAATTAGCGAGTATCTCAAGCTTGGTACAAAACGTGGGCTCTTTACTAGCATAACAATGCAAAATAGCCTCCAAGTGTTGATGACGCGTATGCCCTCGATTTTGAAGTAGTGAAGCTACTAGCCCTACTTATCCAAACCACTTGATACTTGTTCCCCAATGATAGGTACCAGGGTCGTGCAAAGCATCACGAACTCCCCCGCGCAGTTTACCGCGTCCATCCAGAATTGGGTGAATGTACCCACCCATACTAGGGTTTGATTTTCGTGAGGTGAACCGCCCAGTGAGGATCGACTCCTTCCTTTTCTTTGTTTTTGCCTCTTTCGACGAACGAAAACAACAAATAATACATTTATCCAATAATATGTATTCTCAAAGCTCTTGATACTTCACTTTATCGGTTGGGTTCCGGCGTATGATGCCTTCTTTATACCTTAACTTTGCAATACACAGCTGCAAACAATCAATCAATAATCAGTTACTACATAGAACACATAGGTTCCTAGCAGACCAACCGGAAACATTGGGGAAGAAGAGAGCGGACTATTGGCGGAGAACACTCCGTCGTCCCAGAGTGGAAGTTGTGGCCCAGCCCCATCCTTGGGAGACGGAGTGTTGTCATTCAATTGATCTCAGGATGACACGCATCTCCTCCTTTGCATTGATTTCCAGCTTGATACGGTATCTTTCCCGTACTTCCATCATTTTCCTTTTCAGGGACCGTACCAAATATCTACGCAGAACCCTCACATCGAAGATGAATCGCTTTCTTTCTCATGCTTGAGTGTACGGTACCTAGAAAAACTGCTGTGTGAAAAGGCAGCGTGATAATTCAACGCTCTTCTATGTCCGTCTAGGCACAGCACCTTCAGCTCGCGGCACCGTTTTTTGTAGATTCGAGGAGATGTTAGGAGACTTCTCAGTGTAGGGGGAGGTCGGAAAACAAGTCGAATGGGAAGCCGAGAGTTCTTCACGAGGTGGTTCACCTCACGTACCATTTTGTCATTAACAAAAGGCACAGTAAGACACACACCTTCGCCGTTCTGTATGGGACCCAGGTCCTCGTATTACATTCAAAGTATCCATTACTATAGAGAATACTTTCAAATTTAGCATCAACAACTGAATCCCTTCGTGTTCCAAGCTTCTTATTCGTTTTCAGAAAGTTCGGCACGACGTTTGCCTGGGGGAGGGAGGGAGTGAATTCCTACCATTCCTCAATGCAAAGGTACGGATTGGTGAATGTTACAAGGAACACCTTAGATATCGAAAACAGCTTCGTCGAACGTCTTGTTGCATTCTAGAAGACGCATCCTCTTTATACGAAGGCAAACTGAACTGTGCCCTTAATGTTACGAGGAATAGGTCTCACAATTGGCTGAGCTTGCTTTCAGCCATAAACTGATGAAGGAATTCGTTGGAGTTTGGGCTGACTCACGTCTTTCTGTAAAAGTGCCCGACTACGCTTGTCGAGCTTGTGCGCGGGTCCATGTTCATTATTAAGTGCGTGTTGACGAGTACATCTATGTATGCCACTGACGCCTTTGCTGGGTTGGTGGGTTATCGCTCCTCGTTTGCTGTATTACGTCTGAGTTGATCTTAGTTCTTGTATCATCAGATCTTGTAAATACATGAAGTGTTAATGCAAGCGATAGCGCACTGAAAGCACGATCGTCAAAGCTCCTGACGAGATTGCTGGTTGCACACCGCCAGCTGGTTCTATTACACAGTGGTCGAGGTTGCTGTTGAATAAGGACGACCCTGGATAAACCCTTGACTGATTTCCATTCCCACCATTGCAAGGTTTTGACCTAGCCGACATGCAGGATCGAACCCCACCCGCACACTCTACAACCGCGCACTACTGAATATGCCTATAAGGGGACAGAAGGTAGAAACTAACTAATTGAATACGCCTCAAGGAGCTGCCCATTAATCACACAAAAAAGAAGTTAGAAGTTGGAAACTAGGGTCTCATTTTGCCTATAAGCAAAGAATAAGAGAGATGCGTTACAACAAAGCAAGGTCAAAAGATTAGAACTAGACTGAAAATTGACTCATTTCTCCAAAAACAATCGGGAACACACACCAGTAATTCTTGCGATGTTGCGTATTTCACAAAACAGGACGCCTCTAATTTCATAAATGGCATTTGACCAGCGTGCCTAACTTTCGGTCCGATGACATCGTGTTCGATATTCTCGGCTTGCATCGTCGCAAGATCTTCAATAAATGCCTCTCGTGCAGAGGACAACGTTTTGGATGCAGAAAGTTGTCCTTCTAGGTTTAGAAAAACTGTAATGACCTGGATTTTAGACAAGCTGCTCTACCGAACCCCTTCAACAAAGGCACTTCTCATGAAAGAGAAAGGGAAGAGATATTCAGTGCAAAAACTCATGTAACGACGTAATACATCGGGGACTACACCAATATAAAACTGTAACTGAAGACAGAACGCAAGTTGGGTCTTTGCTGCTAATGGTAAGACTCGGAAAAAATTGCATAAATCAGACTACGCTTCTTTTGAAAGCTACCAATTTGTTTTGACATTTACAGAAACTTCATAGTTGAAGGACGGACAGAGCGCAAAGGATACCTTCCAGAATGAGCTCTCCAACCGAACACAGCATGTTCACGAAATCATTTCTACATTTGTTACATTGGTTTTTCTATAAATTGTTCTTTGAAAATTCGATTCGTAATCTCACCATAAAAATGTGATCCCTTTAGTTTCAGATCTACTACATTCGACGACAAACTTTCCCAGCCGTTCACAATCCAACGCTTTCTCTATTCAAATGGAAACGCACGTCAGTAGCTTACTAGTACGAGGATTAGAAAGAAGCGTTTATTACTGTAAACCAGAATAACCGGCTTGACCAGAATATTGCCGACGGCCAACCGTCCTGAATGAAATCATCATCAGGTCGATGGCATTTAAAAAGGGCTCAGGCCAGCGTCTCATGTAGGAAACCTGAAGCAACTTCAACACAGTGTGGACAAGCGGATTTTGTATGAAAAATGAAGGAAGAAAAGGAGCCGCACATGTATTTCGAATTACGACAGTGCCTTTTCGTGCAGACATAGAAAAAGATGATTATTACTGCAAAACGCGGCTATGACACGCTCGTCATTACAGTTGGGTTGAGTTGGGTCGATTTTGCGTTCACAAGGTTGATGATCCCTGGGTGAGTGGGGTGGGGGGAAGGGGGCTTGATCGCTTGATCATGTTTTCCAGCGGAAGTGATCCTGCGGGAGAGCATGCAAAAACTGCTCTGGAATCAAAAGACGGCAAAAACTTAATGCGGAAAATCGAGATTTCTACCTAGCAATGATTTTTCGCCGTAATAAGCACGCTTAACTCATTTAATCCAATAACTGATTACATGCAGCTACTTCAACGTAAGATCCATCAGTGGTGAAAATGGATGCTAGCAACGTAAAGCTCTGACAGCATTTCATAGCAATAGTTTTCTGACACTGGACGCGTCAAGCAGGCTATGCTAACCAAGTAACGTAACCGAACGACCGGACACAACGTAAACTACCTCCATGTTCCCTGTGTGCGCTTGAGTTGAGGAGGTAAGCAAGTTGTTAAGTTGTTACTCACGCGTATGTGTCACCACGACCCGCTCATTCCGAGATGATCACTACGAGGGTATTTCACAGTGCATCATAACTTAATTAGACGCAGCATTTGAGGGTCTCACTCCATGGCCTGCAGTGCCGACATAACGACCATCTCTAACTGCACTGATTACTTGTGAAAAGTTGAGGGTCAAGCCACAAGTACATAGCATGTTTTCGGCGAAACAGTTCAAACGGCAGGTTAGGTCTGTTCTTCGAGCAAGTTTGAAAAATACTTAAGTTCTCTGACGACGGCTAGGGGTTTCTTCGCCACGACAAAACTGGGAACCCACACACGAGACCTCCCTCTCTTTATCGATTTGGAACAGGATATGAAGAGAGGTTGGATACAAAAAGAAGATCCTAGCACTACTTCACATTGTCAATGTATCTGGGCCGATAGGCCTATCTAAATGAAGTTGGTCAGCCTGTTTTCGCTGGTCATGCTCTCAGTAGAGGGTATGATTTACACCAAAAGAGCTGTCTCACTTCATTCACCCATTTACAGCAGCCAAGCTTAAGCGAACAGGGGCAGATACAAAGAAGAAAAGGATTTTCGCTCCCGAATGACCTTCGAACGCATTGATCGACGAACCCACTATTGGAATGACTGAACTGAAAATAGTGGTGGAGATGAAAGTCATCGGAAACACCTATCCATACATTTTATTTCAAGAAAACTTACGCCGTATTAAGTTCACGGCAGAATGCTTCTCATAACATTGGTCTGCTAAAAGGAAGGATAAAGGGGAGGAGCAGTCGGTTACAACTTATCTTAGAAACTGTTTTCATCCTCGATGCATAAAACAACAGCTTTGCACTGCTACTATGCCCCTTCATCTGTATTTGTTTATGCGAGTGAACTCATTTCCTCGCTTTTATGTATATGTAATTACTATTAATGGATAAATTTTATCATTGGTCAATCTTTTATGGAGATGCGTCTGCATATTCAGCTTCCGTTTAGTGTTTCAATGTTACTTGAATGCCTACATGATACGTAAAATGACCTTCGAGTTTTAGCCGAATGACCAAATTTAGCCAAGCTTTATTTCTCCAACGTAGTATGTGCACCAAGTCAAGTACCCTCAGCGAAAGCAAGGCTGAGCAGGAAGAAATACGGAATTTGACCTTTGGGACACTGTGAAAGCAGCTCCACTTAGCTTTATCATCAGCGCTATGTTTTGAATCGTAGTAATTGACTGTCAATGCTTGTAGGCACAGTTCACGATAAATTTGGGATTTATAGTCCAGAATAGTGAATAGGCGAAGAAAGCGCGAAAATAACTGTATGTGGAGAAACACAACGCTCCGAAAAAGTATTAGGTTGATGCATAATTATTGCGGATTTCTTCTACAAATTTTATTTAACGAAACGATAAAAATATTGAACAAAAACAAGTTCAAATAATTGCTCTGGAACTTATCCACCATCTACGTCAAGCACTGCTTCCCATTGATTAGTTAGTCGGATCCCAAAAGCGAAGAAGTTTTGATCCTTAGGGGCGATCCGCGCCTTGACATCGGCCATCAAGTCATCCAAATCGATGAACTTCTGCTCCCTAGCCATTTTTTAGCGAACGGTTGACGAGATAGTCCATAGAAGTTTCTGCTGGTGTATATGGCAGATTTAGGAGCAGATCCACTTTTTTGGTTGGCTTTGGCTGATTGTTCCATCGTCGAACAGTTACTGAGATCGCAGAATGACTCTGCCACCTCCCAACCTTTCTCGAAGTAGTAGAGCATAATTTCGCGAATATGCAGATGGTTTTCTAAGTACATTAATGTAGAGGAAATCAAGCAGATCATTTCTAAAAAAACCCCGATTATAATATTCAACTTCTATCGAGTGAAAAAAGCCGCGAAAAAATCCGCAGCAATTATGCATCAACTTAATAGTAAAATTAGGGGTTGAACGAAAATGTGTAGACAGAACCTGCATGGAAACGGTATTTTGAAGAGCTGTTTAGATGCATGCAGCTGGCTGAAGTTAGCTGCTTACGTGCAAAGCGTGGAACACTGTGAGGATGGTGCAATCTCCGGGAACTCGTCCTTGCTGGATGTG